AACAATTTCTGAAGCTCAGCATCAGCTCCCTCAAGGTTCGCTCCGCAGTCGCTAGCTAGCGCTGCGCAGACTCCTCTCCGGGAAGCGAACCGTCTGTAAGCAGCGAGGAAGGCTTCAGTAGAACAATCCGTTACAAGTTCGATGTGAACAGCTGATGTAGAGAAACAGACAAAAATAGCGATCCACGCCTTGCAGGTGCGAGAGTTTCTTCCTTTCCAGTCCCCCAGTTGGAGCGGTCCTGCATAGTCAATTCCAGAGTTAAGAAAAGGCCGAGATGGGGTTATCCGATTAGGAGGCAGCCGACCCACAATCTGTTGAGCTCCTTGTTGTCGGCATCCAGTGCAGCGAACACACCTTAGTATGAATGATCGGACGGGCGCCCGCCCGCCGACGATCCAAAACCCATTTCGTATGAACGACAATGTAACCCGAGTTCCTCCATGCATTGCACGCTGGCGAGCATCCGAGATGATTAAGGAAGTCAATGGAGACCCACGAGGCAGCACCAATGGACGCTTGCCACACGCGGGGAGGAGCGACGCCCGGAGCCGACCCCCCACGCGGAGAAGACCTGCCGAATCAAGGAAAGGAGTTAAGCGTACAAGACCACTTGACGTTGGCAATGAGTTGCCTCCAAGGAGAATCCTCCTTTCTTGATGAAAGAATGAGTCTTGAACACTCCCAATCCAGTACATTGTTGCCGTTTCGAGTTCCTGAGGAGTGAGAGATTCCAGCAAGAATGGTTGAGATGACTTTCGGAGACGAGACGTAAATCCAATGCAAAGAGCAGTTATCCGTAGAAGACGGGCGAGACTTGAATACCCAAACAAGAGATCCCATAGTTCATGGTTGGACTGAGTTGCACCGAGAACCGCTTTCGGGTTTTCCTCCAAACCCTCGACTCGAGCCTGGGACTGTGGTTCTTGAGGCCATCGTTGATGAGGTTGCTTAAGCCAGTTCGGTCCAAAATTCCAAATTGAATGCGTGCTTAGCTGAGTAGGGGTCAGACCTCGAGTTGCACAGTCTGCTGGATTGTCCTTTCCGGGAATAAATCTCCAGATAGCTTGAGGTAAAGTCTCGTGAATGGAACAAACTCGATTTCTCACAAAGTCCTTCCACCGAGAAGGATGACCATTGATCCATGTATAGACTACCGATGAATCAGTCCAAAGGATGATAGGAGCTTCTTTAAACTCGAGAGCTTGTAAAACACGGGATATTAGGTTTGTTAGCAAACATGCTCCTAATAATTCGAGCCGTGGGATAGTCATTTTCTTGAGAGGAGCGACCTTTGTTTTCGAACAAATTAAACTGGTGGCAACTTCCCCTTTGACATTTGATGATCTAAGGTAAACAGTAGCGCAGATCGCTTTTTGAGAAGCGTCGCAGAAACCGTGGAGTTCTATTGAACATTCCGATGTATAAGCAATCCATCGGGGAAACTTTAATTTAGGTATATCTTTAAGCTGCTCAATAAATGCTATCCATCGTTGTGAAAGAGTAATGGGTAAGGCATCATCCCAACCGAGTTTGATCGCCCAAAGTTCTTGAATGAAAATTTTGGCGGTAATGAGGACCGGGGCTACCAACCCGAGTGGATCAAAGATTTTAGCTATAGTCGATAATATGACTCGTTTAGATATGATAGTTGGAATGGAGGTGGCAACTGAGTAATGGAAAGAGTCGGTTTTCGGATTCCATTGAAGTCCCAATACTTGGACGGCGGTTGATTGATTGAATTGGAGGAAGGGCAAACTGGCTTGCCCAGCAGAGGGGATGCTCTCGAGAATCGATGGCTCATTACTTGTCCATTTCTGGAGAGAAAATCCGCCCGCCTTGCACAACGAGTTGACTTGCTGTACGATTTCTTTGACACGAGGGATCGTGTCCGCACCTCCGAAGATGTCATCGACGTATCTTCCTTTTTTGAGAGATGGAATTGCGTGAGGAAAGGTATCTCCTTCATCTTCTATTAGTTGTGCGAGAGTGCGTAAAGCTAAAAAGGGTGCACAAGCGAGTCCGTAAGTTACGGTGGTCAATTGATAGGTTTCGACATCCTTGTCCTGATTGAGCCATAAAATCCGTTGAAAGGTCCAGTCATCTTTATGGAGTTTGATTTGTCGATACATTTTCTCCATATCCGTTGAAAAGACGTATAAAAACTTTCTGAACCAAAGGAGAACGTCAAAGACATCAGTCTGAAGCTTTTCTCCGGTATATAGAATATCATTAAGGGAGAGACCGGAGGTAGTTTTATTCGATCCATTAAAAACAACTCTCAATTTTGTGGTCGTACTGGTTTCTCGAAGAACTCCATGATGAGGAAGATAGTAACTTAACTCCGGCTCTGATTGATGATCAGGGACTAATATCATGTGATCAAGTCTATGATATTCACTCAAAAATTCGGAATAAGCTTTTGCATAAGAAGGATCATTCGCGAATCTCTGGGATAGACTATACATTACGCGAAGAGCCTTTAAACGAGAGCCTCCTAATACATCAGGAGAACGTTTGAAAGGAAGTCTAACAATATATCGACCTTCTTCATCTCGAGAGTGAGTTTCTTTATAGTGATGCTCGCATCGTTGCTCATCAACTGACAGCTGCGAGGTATTTGAAGGGATTATGTCTTCCACCTTCCAAAATTGTTGTAGAAGATCATACAGATCTTTATCGACAGATAGGTGATAGCCCTGTGAGAAAGTTGTATCGCTATTAAAGCTCACAGGACCTGATAAAATCCACCCGAACTTGGTGAGTTGAGCGATAGGTGAGGTTGCGTCTCCTTTAATGAGTCCATCTTCTATGATTTGAGAATAGAAATCGGCTCCGATGATTATGTCAACTGGACCAGGAGTCATAAAACAATGATCAGCTAAGTCCAATCCCTTTAAGTGCGGCCAATTCTGAACCGGAACTTGAACTGACGGAAGGGAGGAAGTCAAGTTCGCTAAAATATGTGCTGACATATGAATTTCAGTAGTAGAATCAAAGCGTGATTTGACCTTGAAGGACGTGATACCTTTAGTTCGGTTTGCTCCTTTTCCACCGACTCCGATTAAAGATATGAAGGAATTCTTTCTGGGTAGACGAAGCACTTGCACCAGGTGTTCTGAAATCAGGGTGAGCTCAGAGCCCTGATCAATCAACGCTCTTGCTTGTACAGAGTCTCCTTCCTTTGTAACAACCAATACTTGAGCTGTTGCTAATAACACGCTAGAGTTAACCGAGAACTGGTTCACGGAAGTATGAAGAGAATGACTTTCCTTTTCCTTGGCGTCCGAGGAGTTCTCCGATGTTGACGGTTCTGCAGATGGTTTTACAGGAGAGTGAGGTTTCTGATGAAGCGTAGTATGGTGCTTTTGTCCACACTTTAGACAGCGTTTGGTTGTCCGGCAGGTAGATACTTTATGATGTCCGAGACAGTTATAACAGAGTTTATTCTTTTGAACCATAGTCTGCCTCTGTTGTAATGATTTCGAGTGATATTGAGGGCAACTTGCAATATAATGATGTGCCGAACACAGAATACAGGAAGTATTCTTGTCTACTTGAGTTTCCTTTGCTTTGCGTTGAAAGTGAGATTTGCTGGATGTAGAGTTCATTGCATTTGACGATTTTCCTGTACGAGATTTCTCAAAGGCTTGTAGCGAAAGTAATCGGGAAAGTAAAAACTCAAGAAGTTGGTTCCACGTCGGAGGTTCCTTTGATGAGCCTAAAAGATGTTCCCATGTTTTAACTGACTCAGCATCAAGACGTTGCACAACGATGAAAACAAAGATATCATCCCATGTTTGGACGGGCCTTCCTAATGTGTCTAGTGCGCGGTAAATTTGCGTTACATTGGTGTAAAGTTGTTCCATCTCAGCTGCAGACTCTTTAGTCATGCGTTTAAGAGTCATAAGAGAATGTAAGGCGGAATGAACCAGAAGTCTTTTGTTTTCATAAAAGGAAATCAAAGAATCCCAAGCCTTTTGAAAATTGTCGGCTGTAAGGGCAGTATTTTTTAATAAATGAGAAGCAGATCCAACAAGACTGGTTTTAAGATACTGCAGTTTTTCTACAGAAGTCAATGTGGGGTTGGCTATGATAAGAGAGTTAAATAAATCCTTAAATGAGAGCCATTCCGATGGTGATCCGTTGAATTTAGGGATATCAATTCGCGGAAGGCGAGCGTGATGAAAGTAAACAGGAGCATTAAGGATTTGTGATGATGACTGAGTCGAGGGCGTGTCAGTAATACTTTCCGTATCATGTTCGAGAAAAGACGACATTCGTTCAATTGCTTCTAGATAACATTCGTACGTAGTTGAATACGAATCCTCTAAAAAGTATGAATGTTGTTGTAACAGTACCTTTTCTCCTGGAGTGATTTTTGTCATTGCTAAAAATATTGCCTCGTGTATAATAGAGAATTTCTCCCAAGCCTCCTGGAGGGCGGACAACCGAGCGCGTGCTCGTTGGGGTCTAACATTGCTTTGACCTATCTTGACGAGATTTTCGACTGAGTTTGAGATTAGATCCTTGAGAGAGAGTTGCTGCTCTAATCGAGCCTCAATATGGCTAGGTCTCATGCCCCAAGCTGCCTGCCGAGATCCGGCTCGAAGGACCAAATGTTTAGAAAATAACTGCTTTTACAATTCGTATAAGGAATCTGAAATTTAAGAGGAATTAGAAACAAGAAGAAAATTAGATAATTACATCAAAATGTAGGTAAATAAAACTTGAAAGAATTATATTTATACATTTATTAAATTCAAAGGAATATTGAGCGATTCACTGTAATTTAACTATATCTCTCAGCATGAGCCAAAGGCATGAGGACTTTAAGATCAAAAGTAATCTGTAGAATAATTTGTTCCTGTCGCGGAACTACGTTCGAGAATACCATAACCTTGAGTATTTCGATTAGCGTATTTGATGGTATTCTCGAGAATGAGGTTCTCTTGTGAGATATCCGGTAAGCACGAGAATAATCTTTACAGTGAGACTTACACGGGATTGGTAAGAAGCTTCGAGAACAAGCACTTTCCCTCTTCGACTCGAGACTGATTCTTTGATAGAGCTCGAAGAGAGGAAGCTTCTTTGAGAGAGTGGACTGCCTTGATGATGGCTTTGAGACAGTCGACTGTCTCGATGGCCTATATTAGCCATAAATCGAGATGTGTGCCTTGATGGCTTATATTAGCCATAAATCGAGATGTGTGGTGAAAGAACAGGTTAACCAACCTTTGTACTGCTGCAACTTGCAAGCGGTGGACAGCCACAACCACTCCTGTCCTCTCGAGAGACGGCCACGCCTACGAGAACCACACTGAGAGAACACCTGCAGCCTCGCAACACACTCTTGAGTACACGATCCGACGAACAGCCAGAATCCCGGAGATGGCACAGCCATGAGCTTTTCTTTCCTTTGTGTGTGTGCAGCTGAGAGCTACGGGCCCGGGCTGCCCAGGCCCCGCGCAAGCGCGCTCGCCGGGCGCTCGTATTCCTACGCCTGCCCTCCCCCTTCGACATTGCTCATTTGAAAATACTCAAGATTCTTTTAACAATAATAATTTTAATAATATGAAAACGCAATAGAAAGTAGATTTAAATACACGAGTTTTGCTTCACTGATTCGCAAGACGCGCAAACTATAATATACAAATTCAGAACGTTTCGAAGATGTTCAGCTCTCGATACAGTCGCTCATTCGTAGTTGAAAATTTTATGGGTTAAATCAAAGATCGGAAGTTTATATATATATATATATATATATAAAAATCCATGAAAAGTTTCTTACTCCCTGCGGCGACGATTTTCAAGAGATATTTGTGCTGAGCTACTTCAGTCGGTAAGTGCACCGACCTCCTCATGAATTTCATAAAGTTTCATCCTGTACATCGGGAGTTTCACGAGGCCCGCGAAAATTGGTGCCATTCGACGCTCGCGTAAAGCTTCGTCAAAATCGAAATCTAAGATATGGCGTTCGTATACTACAGCCCGTAGTACTATGAATCTCTTTCGCGTTCACAAAAATGGGGTTACGCCATGCGGTTGCACGAGCCAATCCAATCAACTCACTTGAGAGACTTATGACATGAATTTCATAAAGCGAGAACGGAAGGTACCTTTTAAGCATGCGGAAATAAGAGGGATAGAAGTTCAAAGGATCATACTATTTTCAATATCCGCGCGTCTCGTTTTCGGCGATTTTGAATTAGAGAACGATAGTTACTTTTATAAAATATAAATTATTAATTATATGAAAAATTGATATTCTTCGCAGCGAAAAGAGATTGAATTGCTAATATTACAATTGATCAAAAATACACTAGATAGTTTTGTTTTTAGTATGATCGCAGACTTAATTTTCTAATTAATTTTTAACAAATGTGATTTTGGATGTTTTAATTACACCATTTAATTTCCCATAATTTTACTAATATCACTTATTTTAGCAATCCGGTATAAATTCTTTATATCGAATTCTTGACCCTCTAAAATAAGTGAATCGGTAACTTCAGTACTTATAACTGATATAATCATCAATAAAAATATTTATTATTTTTCAGTAATAATATACTGATTCACTTTTAGAGAATATTCTCGTGCCACATATTATGCATAGTTCGATAATATCAATGATTTACTTTCATTATTTATTAACCCAAGCTTTTTTCATTGGTGTGTGATTAAGTTTATTCTCTGGCGATGAATGTCACGCGTTATTGCGCAATGTCTACGGTGTTTCGTGTAAAATTCATTCCCCTTTATAACGATAATGACCCTCCGTACTACGTCCGCTCACTGAATCATTCATGACGACGTGGGGTCAGGCTTGTGGAGTCTTCGTCAGCTGCCGTGCGATTACCGTGCATTAGTCCGGGTAAGTCTCGCATTTTCCAAGAGGACAAAAGTGCCTTTCAGAAAATGAGGAAATACTAAAAATCCCTCAAACTTCTCCACCACCACCGGCTACCATCGCCAACTTCACGAGAAACGCAAATGTCGTTCCCGCGCTACGCTTTTTTACTTAGATTTCTCACGTCGTTACCGCATCTCAAGTTTTATCGATCTTATTGGCAGCATCCCGCCGGTTCCGAATGTTTTTCCAATATCCGTGACTGGATTTTGTGACATGACAAATGCAACGCAGATAAATCGTGCTCATTATTTACCTCCCGATTTCAAATATTTTGTACGCAACAAGAAATAAGATATATTATATCATGTGGCTTCGATTATACGATTTTTAGAATAACTCTACCGGAAGTAAAATGCAATGCTCAATCTTCTCTACTTGGCCCGAATAAATTATCATTTGAACATTTTTCAATTCTCTTATTTAAATCCAATCTTATATATGCACGTAACTCTATAAATGGGAACAAGTAAAGTCTTGCTCTTATTTCAATACGAAGGTGAAGTTTTATAGGTAGAACGTGACTTAACGACGCGATTCAAATAAAAGATAAGGATAAACGGTTGTAGTAAGAAAGCAGTAAATTAGAATACGGAGCAAAGATGAAGGTGAGAAGCTGAAACAACGGTGCTTATATCGTATAAGAGAAAATCGGAGAAGCCAATTAATGATCTCTTTCTCATCTTCCCTATGCTATTCGTACTTTTCTTTCCTTTCGTTCACCCTTTACGTAATAAGTTCTTTCTGAGATTTCTGGTCGAATAAACTGACCCAGGAAAGTGTGCAAAACGGAGGCAAGGATAAGTCCATTGCGAATGCGTAAGCGAATTACGGAAGTTCTTTGCTGGAGCGAAAAGAGTCGACCAGAGTGACGGAACCGGAGAGAAATCCTTTCAGCGTTTTCCCGTTTCGCGGATGCTCCGTGGACATTGCCGAGCTAAAACATGGTTTCTAGGACTAATGGAAACGCATTAATTTATCGCGATATCATGAATAGAAACTTATTTACACGCTCTGCGTCTCTTCAATAAATTATATCAGCCTTATTACACAAATGGAGAAATGCTAAATTCTCTTGAAATAAAAATCAGGGTTATACTCCATTCTTGAATAATATAATAATAATAAATATTATATCTATTTTGAAATTTTTCAAATATTAATGACGAAAGATAATCTCATGTAAACATGGAATTTTTAATATTACGACTCGAGAAGATCTATAATCTTTTTACAGTTTTTTACAATTCTTTTGCAAAAGTATTGACTTCTACTACGTATAATTCTCGTTACGATTATATTTTGCATACACGTTACTGCGACGTGCACATTCTTTTTTCTTTTTATAAATTGCAATCAATCTCCAAGTAAATAGATTCGGGCGACAGAACTGTGATTAAAATTGATTCCACGGATAGCATACTTTATGAGAGAATTTCTTTCGTCGTTATTCAACCAACGAGAACGATCACGCGGATTCAAATAGAAATATATCGAGCGACCTACCGATGCTGGTCCAATCAAGCCGCGGACCAACGGATTATATGTCTACGAGGGAATTCACGTCGGGAATCCCTCGCGCGAACTATTCGCCTCGATATATCGGTTGACCTGTTATTATCAGAAATAATAAGCTCACAGCTGACCGGCGGTTCCTCGTGGGAATCACCCTATTGGACACCCGATGACGATCCTCCCTTGCGACCGCAAATACGGACAGCACGAGAGCACTTGACCGACTTTTCCAATTGGTCCTGCTAAACTTATCCGATCGGACATCGGTCCAGCCTTGTGCGCTCTCTCTCTCTCTCTCTCTCTCTCTCTCTCACTCACTCACTCACTCACTTACTCACTCACTCTTCTCCACACAGACCAATAATATCTCGCGGAACGTAGTGACCATAGGACCGCCTCGGGGATGCAACGATCCGTGGGAAACGCTGGCTGAGGGAAGACGATCGATAAAAAAGTGAGAACGTGAAGTTTTCGCTAATACGAAGTGCTTGATTCTCTGTAGATGAAACTCTATACTTACATCCAGCAAATTCTACAGAAATATAACTATGGCGTATGTGTATGAAAGATTAAATATCAAAAGTTATAAAGATATTTAACATAATTCCGAACTTATAATTATATTATTTCACGGTAGTAGATATATCCGTAGTTCGCTTATTGATGCATGTTGTCACAAAGTTACTGTACCCTAAAAAGAAATCTATTATTAATTTCAAGTATTCTTGGTATTTGACGTATAAATAACGTTAACTACTCAATATCCATTATACGTATAGATAAATCTTTCCGTTATATTCTTCATCGTTCATGACAATGAAATGTGATTGAATATATTGAGAAATTTAACAGTTTAGATTACATCTGATGAATAGACATTTTATTCTAACGAATCAGAGAGTCAAAACGCGTTCCTCATTCGCGATATCGCTTTAAAGTCAAAGTAAGATGGGAATAGGCATAAGATTTTAGCGGCGGCGGCGTTAAGCTAAGCCATAATCGTCTTATTTCCGTGTTAAATCTCTTCTTCTCTTATCCTTGTACTTCGGGAGTGGAAGGTGCCACGAATACCAAGCGGATGATATGACTGGCACCATTGTTCTCAGCTTACACCCTCAGCTACACGGTTATAAGCTGCAGCCTGAGCGGCGA